CATCAGAAATGAGTGATCAAATTAATAAAACTTTAATTTAAACCAAAAATAAAATTACAGGAAGTCACATGTCTTAACTACTGCAATTTTCATCCATTTGTGTAATTTGCTGACACTATTGTAAAAAGAATTTTTTAGAAATGATTACTTAAGTTTTTTTAAAAAATAATTTATTTTTTTCAAAGGGGAATTAATGTAACTATTATTTGAGCTCACTTATTTTTATAGTTTTTTAGGAGAAACTTATTTTCGTGCCTGCATTTAGAAATCAATTCCGATTTTTTGTTTAATAAACATTCTTGGTTAGTATGTGTAATTATTTCAAATTTTTATTGTAGACATAGTATGCATTGGAAATATTGTTATATGCAGGCACTGTTTTAAGGATGGACTAATTCAGTATAAAATCATCAATATTTTTATCTTTTAATTCCCATATATATTTTGACAGCATGGTGTCTTTTGAATACTTTTTATTTTTAAAAGATTGCTTATGATTAGCAAAACGTTTTTTCCATTCACCTTCTGTTATGCCAATATATTGTTTTTCAAGTACTTTCTCAGAGGAGACAACACATTTATATACCACATTTTTTGATAAGCAACTTCCACTCATTGGACAGTTGTTTTTTTGTTTACAATTACAATTTTCTGTAGTTTTTTCATTTTGGATTTCTTTTTTGTTTAACAAAGCATTGTTGGAACCTTTTATAATTCTTTCCATATTTTTTGTGCAACTGTAGCTAACTTTAATAGTATTTCGATTAAAAATATTATGTAACTTATTAGAGGGCGGGAAATGCTTATCGATCAATTTTAAAAACACTTTTCCTATGTTTGTGGAAACATTTTTGCTATATGGGGGGTTGAACCAAATTTTATTTCTAGTTCTATTTCATTTTTTTGTATTCTTTTTTTCAGGGTCAAATTTTAATTCAAAGTTTTCAAAACCACTTTTTTTAAGGGCATCTTCAAATATCTGTTTGGAGGAATTGAATATATTTTTATTCAAGGAGTTTTGGTTAAGCCTGTTATTAATTGAAATCGGGATTTGTTTAAGAATTTGGGGTGGATGATTTGAGTTAATATTAATATATAATAATTCATCGTTTGGCTTTTTTAACATATATATATATATATATATATATATATATATATATATATATATATATATATATATATATATATATATATATATATATATATATATATATATATATATATATATATATATATATATATATATATATATATATATATATATATGTATATATATAAATATATATATATATATATATATATATATATATATATATATAAATATATATATATATATATATATATATATATATATATATATATATATATATATATATATATATATATATATATATATATATATATATATATATATATATATATATATATATATATATATATATATATATATATATATATATATATATATATATATATATATATATATATATATATATATATATATATATATATATATATATATATGTATATATATTAGGGTGCATCACCAAATTTTTTTTTAGATTTTTGAGTTGTCTGGTTTATAGTTGTGTTCTATTAGTGCAAAGATACACTATGGTAAAAAAGAATTAAAATTGCTCAATATTTAGAGGTCCCACCAACCCGGACAAGTTTCACATATGTCAATTAAAATTAAGCTTTGCATTAATTTTTTCCTTTGGATCTTTGACATTATTCATAGTCTTTGGTAGGCATGTTTAATTTTTTCAAAATTGTTTTATGATAGTCTGCCATTCTGAAGTTATATAAATAATTCAGAAGTTATATAAATAATCATGGTTTATCAACAATCATCTTTACAGATTGGTAAATATACAGTATTGTTCACAATTTACACTGTTTGCTCTATTATTTGTAACTTTTATTAAAAAATTAAGAAACTGAAATTGCTGATGTGTACTGTGTCTAGTGTTTAAAAGATTATCAGTTTATTCAGCTAATATATAGAATTATAAATGTGGCACATAGGATAGTATAGCATGTTATAGAATAAAGCATAGCCAATGTCAGCAATATAATTAATTTCTAAATTTTATTTAAAATATAAATGTTAAAGTTTTTTTTTTTTTTTTTTAACCTCTGGTATTTCGTAAACCCGGAGGAGATTTTTAATAAAATCTGACGTGTTTTCAAAGTCGAGTCTACTAGCCTAGGTGATGTGATGTTGAAGTAGTTTGAAATCATTTTGAATCTAGAAGAGTACAGTGTTTTTCGCAAGCTTTTCTCTTTTTTTCCAGAACCATTATCACCTAGTAAAACTGTCTCTATTGTGCCAAGTCCTAAAAACACAACTCCTTTCTCAGCCTCCAAAAAAAAGCCACAGACTCGTCGAGCTACCGAGTTGTTTGGGATCGGCCCTGCTATATGCGCAGATGATGGAACAATCACAGGTGTTCGGCTGCCAACTTGCTTACAAGTTTTAAGAAGCATGATGTACCACTGCAATGTAGCAGTAAACAGTCAACGTCCAGGATCAACTGGTGCACCATCAAGATTTACAACAGCAAAAATGGTGCTGAAAGAAATTGCATCGCTGTATGGAAAAGCCAACATACCGATGGTTACAGAAAGAAGAGCACGTGAGAAAATAATCAAACTCTTAGATGATAACAACAAACTTCGTTCAATTGAAAAGAGCCGTCGAGACACACCGAACGCAAAGAAAAAACTGGAAGATATGCAATCCATGTTGGCATCGACATTCCAGCTCTAGCCGCCTAATGTTGAAAGTCTTGTCAAGAATCCAGAGGATCTTGCATTCCTCCAGTCAATGAAAGGGGATAGAGCTGTTAGCTTTGGTGCATTTGACAAGGTACTTGCCCAGAAGATATCCAGGCGCCATTGCAGATGTTACAGCAGCAAAGCGTCTGAAGTATGCTCATGATGAAATTGAAACATTAAAACTGCCTGTATCATCAGAAGTTTTGACTGAATCAGAAGGCAGCAATGCTGACGAATCATAAGAGTCTGCCTATGAAGATATGGATTTGGAAGCTGAGTCTGAATCAACAGATAAAGCACCATCTAAAAGAAAACCAACAGGAGCAATGGCCTTTATACCTCCAAACTTGCTAAGCCAACCAAATCTAGTTTTGTTGGCAACAAGACTTAAAATGACACCAACACAGTAAGCTGTGGTGATGTTTCAATGGTTGCTTCTTCTTATGCCACTGCCGATTGTGCAGAGCGCAAGGTTGTAGGTGAGATAGTGACAACAATTCAAAACACCTGGCAGCCACCCAAACTCTTCACTCTGCATTGGGATGGAAAGTTGACTCCCACTCTCAATTATCCACGTATCACTGAAGAGCATATGACAGTGGTTGTAGGTGATGCATTACAGCTGAAGATGCTCAGAATTCAAAGTTATTTCATGGCGACGGACATGTCAGTCAAATAAATAATTGCTCAGTTGACGACGAAGCTGCTGAAGGAGTGGCGTTGTATCGATTAAGTTGTGAATATGACATTGGATACAAAAAGTTCAAACACTGGCCATCTGACTGCAGCTTGCATTGTCATACAAGATAAGCTACAGCATGTTCTCCTATGGTCAGGTTGTCATCATCATGTTGGTGAAGTCCTGCTCTCTCACGTCTTTACTGACTT